TAAGAAGGGATATTTTCCAAACGTGAACTTGCGAAACTCCTTTTCCCATGCTGCCGCGGAAGGACATGATCACACGTAAGTCATTGTAAAAACTGACCTGCCACGAAGGGAAGTGCGACGGCCATGACCAGGAAGACCAGCCCGCCGAAGGTCCACCAGAACTTCTTACACCAGCCGGACCAATTGGCCTTGTTGTAAGTGACTGTGACGTTGGTGTCTGTTCGAACAAACAAGAATATTTGAATGTGTTTATCGCAAACATATAATCAAATAGTCAAAATAGTCAAATTACCTTTATTGGTCAACAACTGTAGCTGGTACGATGTATGGCAAAGAAACAACAAGGGTACATACACAAACTAATACTAACATATAATTCTAACGATCTAGTCCATAATGATACTGAAGCTAATCTATTGTGTTTCTGTAATTCAAGGGATATATCAGCTATTTATAACATGGTGTCGCTTTTGTAGTGATTCAGAAATGAATTTTCCAACGTACACTGATATCTGAGTAGGACATGAAAGGAGCATATTAAAGATATCTGATTTTGAGTAAAGTAGCGTAATATTAGTTTTTTTTATATTCCAACATGTAATCACCAGACGTGGTGACGGCACACTCAAGTTTTTTCAACTTATATTAATGCCGCCACCAACACAGGGGACAATACAATACTCATTTTCACCTGAGCGAAGTGAGGAAAGTCGTGTAAAGTGCCTTTCCCAAGGGCACAAGATCGGTGGCATGTCAGGACTCGAACCCAGGATCTCTAGGTTCCGGTTCCAAGTCGCGCACTCTGCCGCTACACCACACGACCCCACGACAATGTTTATGACAATGTTTTTGGTATTTGGAACACAGTGTAAGACTCAGCAGCATTCGTTTCTATAGCTAGAAAAATCCTTTTACCTGCTCCGGAGACGTGCAGCGTGTTTGGTGTAGTTGCCATGGCGTCCGCAAGTCACCTCCAATCAGTCTGGTCTTGCTGCTCGTGTGTGGCGTCTGGTGGAAAATGAAAGAAGCCCCTTTAAATGACTGAGATTCAGAGAGTTGAAAATTCTGCTTTCATTGTTGCTGATGAATCCTACCACACCTTCTTTATTTCAATATCTCATTTTGAACGTAGATTAATGAACAAAATATCCAACGTAAATGAAGTATAAAAAATTAGACAATTACGTAACACAATGTAATAAAGAACAATTCCCCACCCAACGACAAAAGCAAATATTTCATTATTATTATTATTGGATGGGCCGACTACTCTCTTCGCAGCCAAGGGCTGAATTGTGAGGAGCTTACAATTATTGGGGCTTAATCGCAAGGATCTGGAGGGGCTGCCATTCGGCGCCAACACAAGTGACCTCAATATGACCCCAGGTGCGGCCATATGACTGTAAGGTTTGAAAAGGGAAGTGCGGTGGGTTTTTTAACGTGTGTGGGATGTGGCTCCCCCAAACACTGGACCTCCGTTTAACGTCCTATCCTAGGGACGTCCCAAACCAAAGCTAGGTACTCATTTACACCTGAGTGAATTGAGGAAAGTCGTGTAAAGTGCCTTTCCCAAGGGCACAAGATCGGTGACAAGGTGGGGTTCGAACCCGGGACCTCTTGGTTCCGGGCGAAAGACGCTACCGCAACGCCACACGACCCCACTTAAATGCTACCGCTACGCCACACGACCCCACTTAAATCGTACAATGGAAAATTGAAGTTTAAAAGCGATTTGTTGTGGTAATGAATGTTGAGTGACTGAGACCCTCCCTGGTCCCAATACTTGGTCCTGCGTACACAGACGCAAACGGGGCGTATCCATACTATAAGCCCAGCGTCACAACTATACAAAACGCCTGCTTGAGACAGAAACATTCAGGAACTAGTTTTCACCTCCGTGGGGACGTCAGTAACAGGGACACTAGAAGAAGAGTGAAAATACAAAAAGGGCCAACCGTGCTGTATTGAATCTGATCCAGTCTCGCAAATAACTTGTATGTATGGGACACTATTGTTAGACCACACAGCTACATTTGTACGCCGAAAAAAGGCGAAAAGTGTACGAACCTTCTCACAACCAGAAGGTCTGCCGTATGATTATTAAAAGGAAGTGAAATAGGTACGATATATCAGGTACAGTAAAGGTAACGGTAAGAACAGTGAAAAACAAGTAAAGGTCTCCACTCACCGCTGTAGTAGTGCCCCGGCGCGCCGTCAGCTCAAACACTGCTGGCTTTCAAAATGTAATGCACGACCGTGGGACAGGAGAATATATGCTCTACATTTCAAAGCACCTTAACATGTTGTCATAGAGAAAAGCAAACATACAAATCAATCCCATAACATAATCACTCTGGTCAACGAGCACTTCAATTAGAAAATCTTTCGCTGGAAGAAATCTTTAATTTAACACAACAGGTGCACCCAAGCATGTCTACATGAAACGTACTACTTTAATCCTTTATTTTTTCCATGACAACTCTTAAGTCACCTATCAACAGAGCATTTACTCTCTTAGCAGCAACAGGAGGCAACTAAAAGCTTATAAAGCGCCACGTTTTCTGTTACCATAACAGATCAATGAGGAATGATGGACTCTATTAAATTGCATATTGCCGAGAATCCCATTAGTGTGGCAACCTGGCAATGACGCTAAACTTCAGGCTGGTTTACACTTGTTCTCTGGCTGTGTGGGAACTTTGTTATCACGCTAAAACTGCGGGCTTTGTCTAAAAATGGAACAGGGAACCCATGAGTCCACAGTGGAGAATACCGAGAGTGTACAGATTTTAAATCAGGAGGGTGACATTTTATCGAGACCTTGCCAACTTAAGTATACTTCTATGAAGATCGAGACATAATTACAGTTACGATTTGCGAGGTATGTACTATTGTAGAAACAGATCTGTGAAAGAAGAACAGCGCATTATGATGTAGTAGTGTCACGGCGTCCGCTCAAAAATTGCTGGTTTTCAAAATGTAAAGTATGGCCGTGGGACAGGTGAATATATGGTCTAAATTTCAATTTTGGACCTGTAAGTACCTTAACATGTTGTCATAGAGAAAAAAACAAACATAAAAAGCAATCCATAACATAATGACTCTGGTCGATGAGTACTTTAATTAGAAAATCTTTCATCGAAAGAAAGTTTTCAAAATGTTTTACACATCAAACGTACTACGTTGATCCTATATTTTCCCATGACAACTCTTCAGTCACCTATGAAGACATCATATACCCTCTTAGCAGCAACAGGAGGCAACTAAAAGTGTATAAAGCGCCACTTTTCAGTTACCATAACAGATTAATTCGGACTGTGATCGACTGATTGAAATGCATGTTACTGAGAGAATCCCATTAGTGCGGCAACCTGGCAGTGACGCTAAACTTCAGGCTGGTTTACACTTGTTCACTGGCTGTGTGGAAACTTTATTATCACGCTAAAACTGCGGGCTTTGTCTAAAAATGGAACAGGAAACTCATGAATCCACAATGGAGAATACCGACAGTGCACAGATTTAAAATCAGGAGGACGACATTTTATCGAGACCTTGCCAACTTAAGTTTACTTCTATAAAGATCGAGAAATAATTACAGTTACGATTTGCGAGGTATGTACTATTGTAGAAACAGATTTGTGAAAGAAGAACAACGCACTATGATGTAGTAGTGTCACGGCGTCCGCTCAAAAATTGCTGGTTTTCAAAGTGTAATGTATGGCCGTTGGACAGGTGAATATATGGTCTAAATTTTCGATTTAGGACCTGTAAGTACCTTAACATGTTGCCATAGAGAGAACAGTTTACATAAAAAGCAATTCCATAACATAATCAGTCTTGTCGATGAGCACTTTAATTAGAAAATCTTTCATCGAAAGAAAGTTTTCAAAATGTTTTACACATCAAACGTACTACGTTGATCCTATATTTTCCCATGACAACTCTTCAGTCACCTATGAACACATCATATACCCTCTTAGCAGCAACAGGAGGCAACTAAAAGCTTATAAAGCGCCACTTTTTCAGTTACCATAACAGATTAATGAGGACTGTGATGGACTGATTGAAATGCATGTTACTGAGAATCCCATTAGTGCGGCAACCTGGCAATGACGCTAAACTTCAGGCTGGTTTACACTTGTTCACTGGGTGTGTGGAAACTTTGTTATCTGGCTGAAATTGGAATGGAGGTCTAAAACTGCCGTCTTTCTCTAAACAAGTGCTTTTGAAAAAGCTGGCATTTCGGGCGAGGTTAAACATTCGAAAGGCTTTCTCCAGTTATTGAATTAAAATTTGCGGTAGTAATTTATTTCAAAGTATGCCCAAAATTATGTAAAATGTTCAAAATTGCAGCAATCGAGTAAATGAATCAAGTACATAACTTTTGTTAATAAAACATTTAACATTTTCTCAGGCCCGAAATGCAACAAGGAACGGAGAACTCATGAGTCCTCAGTGAATAACATCCAGAGTATTACTTCTTCTTCTACTTTGTAAAAACTTACCAAACTTGCTAAAACTTGCTAAACTGCGTCTAAAAAAGGGGGGGAAAAAGGAACGGAGAACTCGTGAGTCCACAGTGGAGAATACAAAGAGTGCACAAAAATAAGCTACTGCTAAAAGGTCTTCTGTAGTAGTACTTAGAATCGGAAATACAGAGAATATGAAAAAGATCATTCTTAGGTTTTCCTATTGTAGTACATGCACATGTAGTTGGGGGATACTAAACGCATAACGACTAACACTGGGCTTTGGTAACTTACACCAGTTACTGGAATTCTACAATAAATGGCACGCCACACGACGAGCATTAATACGTTAAGAAGCGCCCCAAGTCAAAATTAGCCACCTACATCTTTTTATCATTTGCATGTTATAAGGTATTGTCACTTGTATTCTCATGGACTGACTTATCTTTCGACTGGAATGAGGCGGACTGTGATTATGCCTTATGATTTTGACTATTTGTTTTGGTTGACATGTCTTGTTTCTAATGATTGATTACTTGTACTCTTTGCTCATATTACTTATTATCTCTATGTTTAATTATTTGATTGTCTATGTCCTTTGTAACTTGTTCTGTTGGGCTACCTTGGAAATCAGTTGTCCTAAACTGAAGGTACCACCCAACTGTTTTTAAGATCAATGAATAAATAAATAAATAAATAAAAAGTATCATTGGACAGTATCATTCATATTGGACAGTTTGCTCCATAAAAGCTATATCTGAACACTTCTCCAGTTCGCTGGAGGTCCCCACTTAACATGATTGTCTTTCTTTTTTTATCTAATCTTTAGACACCTGGATGGCCTAGTTCAATTCTGACAACTTGATGTTCAATAGGGCCCAGTACAGAGATACAATAAAATCAAAGATACAAACAAAGACCGATATAACAAATCAGAATCGTTATCCATAACTCGTGTCGATTTAAACAGTCAAGGTCGGCATTTCGATTTGGAGGTCAGAGGTCAATTTACACACTAAGATTAGGTAATTAAGTTCTTCAGAGCAGTCTTGCAAGATTTCAAGATTCTCACTGATGCATTCAAATTGACTCATTCTGGTGTAACTTTGTAAGGCCATGTTAATTTGATTGTATGGATGACATCAGCGCGCGCTTGAATTTTCGGCTGTTTCCAAAAAAGTTTTCAACCATACTGTAAATCGTACAAAACAGTTGCAAAATGAGCCAATGTATACTGTAAGTTGCAAAAATTGAAAAATGATACCAATGTCGTAGAATGCCAGAATCAAACGAATATGTAAAGAAACGAATTTGAAGAGTAGATTATCCGCCATATCATACTCGGTGTCATTTGTTCAACCTTCATGACCACGTAGATTTCATAATGAAAGCAACTTTTTTGCCAAACTTTTTTATTCGCACGCTCGCATCAGTTTTGGGGTTCACAGAGGATGTCATCCGTACAATCACATCAACATTGGCCTAACAAGCAAAGCCCTTACATTAGAGAGCGTTACTTCTCCGCATCTCCAGATTAATGATTTTGTTCATAAGGCCAAAGCAAGTAATTTTATGGATGACATCAGCGCGCGCATTGATTTTTGCCTGATTTTGAAAAAAATAACAATAAATTTGTTGCATTCTGTCGACATGTCGAAAATGGGCAAATATGTCTGTTGCCATGCCGGAAGGCGGATAACAGATAACTATGAAGAGAGGAGACAAGACAAGGCTCTGATTTAGTGTTTTGTTTCTTACTTTGATGCAGTGATATGTGATGCTGGCTGTGTATATGTGCTGTTCCCCACTGAATAAAAACCATTGACAATGATTGAGTCAAAAAATGTAGGAACCTTGTTTTTCTCGGTCCGCCTTGTTTTTTTTTCGCCCGCTCGCATTAGGTTTGGAGTCTGCGGAGGATGTCATCCATAAAATTTACTTGCTGTGACCAATTGGGTGTGATCAGATTGAGATCAAATTCAACTATCGTGGCCTGATTTTCATAGACACAGACTTGAGGGAGTAAGTATTGTTTCTCCAGAGCTCCCACACCACACCTTTCCACTCTTCACAGGAGTACCCACAGTTGCCCAGGTAGCGGCTGTTGAGAAAGGAGGTGCTACAGAACCTATACCACCAGCCACCGTGCCCGTGAAACTGAGAACAGTGGCCGATACAGATATCGTTGTCCCTGTCCTTAGTGGAGAACTTCATCCCGTTGTTGCTGCTATACTCGCTGCTTTTGTTAGCCATGCAGTCATGCGCGTCGCCTGAATACCCGGAAACGCTCAGCCGGTACTGGTCCGACTCATTGGACACCCTGGGTGGGAACAGCAAATCACACAATATCAGTTATGAACGACAATCTGCATTGATTCTGATTCAGGGTTCAGAGATCTTTTACGTCCATGGAGTATTTGGAACTTTTGTAAATTTTGTTCTGTTAGTTTGTCTTATTGATGATGGAAATGTTGTACTTAGCATAATTCATTTTAATTTATGGTCTACTCTACCAAATGATATGTACGAAAGTCCTTTGGCAAAATGCCATTTTAACACTTTTATCACTAATTGTGATAACCTGTGTCTTGACCTGTTGTCAATGTCAATAAAGAAAGAAAGAAAGAAAGAAAGTAATTACGCCAATGAACTCCACATTGTAAGGTCGTGTGGCGTAACGGCAGAGTGCTCGACTCGGAACCAAGAGGTCCCGGGTTCGAGTCTTGACAAGCCACCGATCTTGTGTCATTGGGAAAGGCACTTTACGAGACTTTCCTCACTTAACTCTGTGAAAATGAGTATTGTCCTGTCCTGTATTTGTCCTCTACGTTGGTGGCGGCATCAAATAAGTTGATATAACTTGAGTGTGTCGTGACTTCCTGCTTAGAAATTTCTCAATAGAAGGAGGAGCACCAACCTAAATGTGTCGTATTCCGCGAAGGCTGTCTTCATCTCCCAATCCATCATGTCCACTCGGAGCCGCTGTGCCTTGTGGTTAGTCAGGAGGTGGATGTTGTCGTTCCCAAGCCAGTACTCCCCGTTCTTGTTCCCAAACCCGCGTTTGTACTCCACCCAGGTCCGGCTGAAGGGAACCGAACCGTCCATTCTGCGCTGGAACACGGTCCACCCACCTCCTGTGGTAAAACACGTTTAAACTCTTTAGCGTGTTTTTATTGTAAATGCCTGACAATTCAGCAAGAAGGTACGTAAATAAAGTATCAAGTTTCAAAGTCAAATTCAATCTACCTGCTGTATCCATGTCACAGTAGACCTTTACACCGGACAGAGGTGAGCCAAGTGTGTAGACTCCACTGGTCGTGTGTCCGGCGGCTTTAACTGCAGCACAGTCTGAGAAACGGTATGTAGAGGAGGAAATACTTAGTAGTCACAATGTAATGATTATCATAAATATTATAGACACAGCGAACTAACGATTGATATTTTAGACAAGAGAATTAGCAATGTATGCGAAGAATCGCTAGTCGTTTTACGACCGTAAATAAATACAAAATTATCAGGATACGAAAACTAACTGTATCTTGTGTGTGTGTCTGTGCATGTGTGTGTATGTGTGTGTGTGTGTGTGTGTGCATGTGTGTGCGTGCGTGCGTGTGTGTGTGTGTATGTGTGTGTGTGTGTGTGCATGTCTGTGTGTGCAAGTGTGTATGTGTGTGTGCGCATGTGTGTATACACGTATATACATGTGTGTGTGCATAATATATGTAAATGTGCGTGTGCATGTGTGTGTGCATAATGTATGTACATGTATGTCTGTGTGTGCATAATGTATATAAATACATTCATGTGTGTGTTTGCATGTCTGTCTGTGTGTTCGTATATGCATAATATATGCTTAGAGTTACTAAAGATATTAGTGTAAAATCGGGGCAAAAATGAAACTCGGACCCTCCAACTCACCTGCAGGCCGTGTAATCGGGGCTGCAAGGAATGGACAGCTACACTGAAAGAAAGGCGAGACATATTAATATGAAGCTACTAGTAGGAAAAAGCCGCAAGGCAAAAGTAAAACAAAGTAAGCAGAAAAGGTTCACAACTGATATCTTTTATATGTGTATATTTGTATCTTTTAAATGTATTTTATAAATACATTTTTGAATCAGCTGAAAGAAAGATGCGGAATGAGGGATGGCTGTGGTGCAAAAGATGCCGGCTTGCTCTAATATCAGTTTAAAGTAGATGGTTAGCAATGTGTATCCAAATTTGGGTATGTAGTCAATGACGAGAATACTTAAGGCCAGGTTTTTTCCTGGAATGACTCTAAAGGTCCACAATAACCAGCGGTATAGACCGTCTAGTGGTGTAAAGCGGTGCATTGCTTCATTAGTTAGTTAGTTTGTTAATTTTTTTTACCTGTCCAGAAGGTCCAGGGGGCCCTCTTTCACCAGGTGGTCCAGCAGGCCCATGGTCTCCTGGAGGCCCAGGTAGAGCAGGGGCAACTGGCCCCATGGACCCATTGAAATCAGTCCCTGAAACAAGAATTTGGAGACCTTAACCAACATGAAATATGTAGAGCCTTTTTGAAGACCAGGACAAGAGTTACAAAAAGCGGACGTTCTGCTGTAGTAACAAGGTCAGCCACCAGGAGGCCCAAATTTGAACTTAACCTTTGTCTTCTTAAGACCTAGCTACATACCAAATATGATCACAATCCATAAAGGCCGTCTGTAGATAAGCTATTCATGAATATGTGGGAACACACAAACACAGACCAAAAACAATACCTACATTTTAGTGCAGATAATAAGAGAATGGGTAAAACTCCTATCATAGATCAGTCCATATGTGGTATAAAATCATGGTTTAAGATTTTTAATGTGTAATGGTAGGACACACTACTTACGTTCCAGCTCGGTTAGTCGCGCTGAATTCTTCATCACCTCCTGAGAGATGATCTGCAGGTTAACTGTAAAAAAAGGAGCCAAAATCGAGCTTGCTGTGTTCTGTATGTCCCGGAATGACATGAACATTCATAACATTCATTCATTCATTCATTTTTTTGTCATTCATTTATTCATTCATGAACTAAAATATCACGCGTAAGTAATCTTAAAAACCGACCTGCCAAGAAGGGAAGTACAACGGCCATAACCACGAAAACCAGCCCGCCACCGGTCAGCCAGAACGTCTTACACCAGCCGGACCACCTCTTCACTAGTGGGGCTTCCTCGTAAGACAGATCCTCATAGATATCTGTTCGACCAAACAAAACCAAAAACCTTCTATATTGATTGCCTGTTCTGTGTATTTTTATACTTGTTATTGGCCATGTAAATTTTGATGTTGTATATGTGCTTTTGTAAAGGTGCGTATGCACCTGTTTTGCCCTCCCTTTCACTTGGTGAAAAATCAAAATAAATAAACAATTAAACAAAAACAAGTATATTTAAGTGTTAATCGCAAATGTTAAGACAATATTTTGGTATTTGGAACACATGTAGTGTAAGAATTCAGCACCCGTTCCTATAAGGCCACACTATCTTTATTTAATGGATGGCATCCTCTGAAGACTCCCAAACTAGTGCGCGCGGGCGAATGAAAAAAATTCCGACCAAAAATAAAAACGCTACTAAACAACAGGAATACAAAGCTGCTGTTGTGAATTTGTGGCACTACATAGCGACGTATACGACAAAGCCTGCACATGCTAGCCTTTTTCGGAATTTATGAATCGGCACTGTATGTATGTACTAAGGTCTTGTCGTGGAGCTTCGGTAGCCTGGTTGCCGTCCTCCAGAGTTACCACAGGCTCTGTACTGTCGCTAACTACCATGGACTACCCAGGCCTTGAGCAGAGCCTTGGAGGACGTGATCTTTATTGAGAACAGGCGAAAATCAATGCGCGCGCGGATGTCATCCATAAAATTAATTCGGTGTGGCCTAACAAGAGATAGTTTTACCTGGTTCGGAGCCATGCATCAAAATTGTTTTGCCTGGTCCGGAGATGTACATCACATTCAGTATTCTCGCGGCGGCGTCCGCAAGTGATCTCCAATAAGTCTGGTCTTGCTGCTTTGGTGTGGCGTCTGGTAGAAAATTAAAAAAAGAAAAAAAGCCCCTTTAAATGATTGAAATTCAGAGAGCTGAAAATTCTGCTTTCATTGGTATTTATGAACCGTATCACACCTTCTTTATTTCAATATTTCATCTTCAGCTTTTGGCCCGTAAACCTAAGGAAATGCTATCTGGAAATATAAAACGCTCATATCACTATCAGAATTATCAGGGTAGCCATTGCAGTTTCAGTAGTTGTCAGCAATGCGTTGATTTTTGCGGGACGTCTGTGATGAGCGGGGTCCCAGAGCTCCATATCGAAAAATAGCTGGAGGGTTTTAATTATTTGGCGGCTAATACTTTCATATACCTATCACACAAAGTGTAAACGAATTTGGCCGACCCCCATCTTCCGATCTCTGCCTGGTTTTTTCGTGCAATTATATCAGACTGTTGCAACGTGTATCATATTTAATTGATATTCTAAAATCGAGGGCCATTAATTGGACAGAGTGCATAAACCCGCAAACCATTGATTTGTTGTGTTTTCTTTAAATATTTTTTCATGCAGGTCAACTGATGACAATTTTGAAATCTACCTTTCAGATAACTTGCAATGATGCTTACATTTAGTAAATTGTAATAATGCTTATTTTGTAATTTTCCACCACAGGCCACACCCGAGCAGCGAGACCAGACTGATTGGAGGCCATTTGCATACGGCGCCGCGAGTACTAGTATACCAAACGCGATGTATATACGTGTACGTCTCTGGAACAGGTAGAACAATTTCATATGGCGGTTCATAGTTACACACACCTATCACACAAAGTGTGAGCGAATTTTGCCGACCCCCATCTTCCGATCTCTGTCCGGTTTTCTCGAGCATTTGCATAGGACGACTCAAGTATACCCAACGCGATGTATACATGTACGTCTCCGGAGCAGGTACAACGATTTCTTATCATATGGCTCTTCATATTTCCACATACCCATCACACATACAGAGTATGAGCCAATTTGGCCGACCCCATCTTCCGACCCCTGCCTGGTTTTCTCACGACTCTTAATAGCCTGGTATCCAGTCTGATCGTGGTCGGGGTCGCAAGAGCTCTGTCCCGCCCGCCCAACATAGGTTTCCCGAGAGATTGACTAGTCCTCCACGTGTTGGGGGGAAACAAAATCCCCAAGCGTACTGTCTCTTATTAGCGTAACACTCCTACCGGGACGGTCTGTTGCACTGGGCGGGGGAAGCTATTAGAGCCCCCGAAGACACAACCTGCCCGAACACCCCAATACCCTCAATCACGTAAGACTGGATACCAGGCTAGACTCTTAAGACACAGAAACAAACGTAACTATATTGGTAATATGTCCTAAAAAATAAACTACTGTACAAAAAAACATTTAACACAATTAACACGTCTTATTTAATTAACACGTTTTTCACCCACAAATAAAAATACGTACTAAATAAACGTACTAAATAATAATCAAGTCTCAATGGAAATCACAGAGCTATCTGTGAAACATTTGGTCGCTCAGAAGTACACAGGAGAAAAAGACAGATTGACACAAATTAAGAGAAAATCTGTATCTTACCTCCGGTGTCGCCAGTCTTGGGGTGTTTCTCCTCTCCCGACATGATGCCACTTGTCTGGTTTCTGCACAGCAAAAACACGTCCTGCACCAGGCACGGCGTTTGTCGACTGACGCGAGTCCTTCACACCTTACTGACGCCCACGCAGCGACTACAAACAGTTTTACTACATAAACTGCTACAACTGTTGTGCAATAATGTTTGATTGATCGTAACGACCAGCACCGAAGCAATGCATATTTATTACTAACTAGTCTATGAAACTTAAAAACTAAGGGATGAAAGCTAAGCAAGGCAATCAGCGCTACATTTTGAAGTGTTTGAAAACGCAATCATTTTTTTCTTCAAAGTAAAAAGATATGCCCAATACGCACGCATCGATTTGGTTAACAAAATGGCAAGTCTGTAAAAAATGTGTTTTGAAAAGATGAGACTTTTGTGTTAACACCTATTGGTCTTATGTCCTAATGTTCAAAGCATCATGGCGAGATCAGTACACAAACGCAATCATGGTCTTTTGAAAGCACAGTTTACAAGCTTACTGTATGCTGATGTCGTAATTAAAAAAAAAGAAGAAAACATGTACAGTTATTGCACGTACAGTAAAGCAAACTACAAGTAACATTCAAGATAACCTGTGGTTCACAAAAAGCATTTGGCTCAGTCATAAAACCGTGCAAGATTTAATACAGTTTTGCACATGAACATGCCTTTGTCAACTCCACTATAGAGTATAGTGTTATCTATCCGTCAGCTTTTCCACGTGTATTTTGCTGCTGCTATTTCATATACATAACCTACGTGTAACTTCTATATATATATTTATATATACCCACACAGAAGTGAATGCAGTGCATTTCATACAATAAGGAGACCATTTCCGTTTTGATAAACATATTTCAACTGCTCATTCCTGAGAAACTGGCAATTTTGACATATTTGCAACATACATGTACAAACTGTACATGTACATGTTACTAGTATTCACAATCCATGCTTAAAGAATATCATACCGGTAATCATTAAAATATGCCCCCCCCCCTCCATTCACAATCTATACCACTACAGACTTGTATTCACTAGACTGACAACATGGGCTGACATATAGTCAAATTTAGTTACATAGTTGCCAGGGTACCGCTTGCCCGTGCAGTTCACTAAAAGCTTAGAGGCAAAATGTTACAAATGTTCTACCCATAAAAATACTAGCCTGGTTACTAAACCTATCATAGCTCCTGAGTCCTACATCCTCTCTGCATATTTGCGGAGAGGATGTAGGACTCGGGACCTATAATGGGTTTGGTAACCAGGCTATAAAATACCTCCTCAGTAAGGCCTGTCAGAGGCTAAGCACAGTAGTTCTATATTTCATTCAGGACTCAGTTCAACATCAGTAACTACTCACTACTCATTCCTTTCATCCAAAATTCACTTTCCTGACAGTTCTTTTTCTGACTCTACAATACTATGACTTACAGGAACACCACCCGATCTCCTATCATGTGTTTAATACACAACCTGATGGTATATACAGATATACAGTACATAAATATGCACACACACAATCTTGCAGAAGAACTTGGTCTGTTATTCTTTGTAACAGTTCAAAAATTGGGTAAGTCTTAGGCTGGTGTGTTATGCCGAAGGGCAGTTATACTGGCTATACAGATACAGAGGCTGGTGTGCTATGCCGAAGGGCGGTTATACTGGCTATACAGATAGAGAAGCTGGTGTGTTACGCCGAAGGGCGGTTATACCGGCTATACAGATACAGAAGCTGGTGTGTTACGCCGAAGGGCTGTTATACCGGCTTTACAGATACAGAAGCTGTTGTGTTACGCCGAAGGGCGGTTATACCGGCTATACAGATACAAAAGCTGGTGTGTTATGTCGAAGGGCGGTTATACCGGCTATACAGATACAGAAGCTGGTGTGCTACACCGAAGGGCGGTTATACCGGCTATACAGATACAGAAGCTGGTGTGTTACGCCGAAGGGCGGTTATACTGGCTATACAGATACAGAATTTGTGTTGGAAAACACAGTACAAACTTGTTTCGTGACGACTTCTACCAACACAGATGGACTTTCAATCTAATAAATAAGCAGCATCAGTGACTAGCTTGGGTGGAGAACATCCACACAGTTGTATTTTCTAAACTACAGTTTCTAAGGCCAGTGTTGAAGCTTTGGACGTATCATAAGTACACATGTAGCGGCATTGTAGCCTGTTCTGTACGTGCCGTAAATTAAGTTTGGTTTTAGGTTAGTAAACCATTGGTTAACCTTCTCCCTGCTGCCTAACCAAGTAACCAACAGCAGCCAAATGGCTGCTTCAGTGCGCTAAAGGTTAACAAGGTGTATTTTCTAACCTACAGTTCTACAGTGTTGAAGCGTACGTTCACACGCATGCCTGTTACGTACACTGTTATGTTCTTATACCACTTCTGCTGCGAGCAGCTTTTTTGTGTCCAGCGAGCGAGAAATTTTACACTGCCTTTCCACAGGATTTCTGGCACAGGTTTAGCAGGAGAGGCTGTCATAGGGGGTACAAGAAGCATGTACTTTGCACGTTTTCCCTGCTTTACCAGGCTCTGGTAAACCCTCTCCTGTCCTCTTGTCTATTGAGTTTTTTTCTCTGGTAGGCCACACCAATTTAATTTGTTGGTTCACAGATTTTTTCAGAAAAAATATGAAGCGACAGGTCGAAAAAAAAAGAAGATAAAAACAGGTCTAGGCATTCTGTTATAGCCCAAAATGCTACGATAGGAGCCATGAAGTCAACACAAAAGGCTAGGTTAATTTTTTAACAATGAATTTTGAACTTTTAATCAAACCACTGCATTGATAGATGGAAAAACTGTATTAGCTAGGAAGAAAAGGACATTCCTCAACTATTGGGGGTAAAATATGAGCATATTTGAGTTGATTCAGAACCAGAATCTTTTTTTTTTTGGAAATCAGAAAAAAATGAATCTGAAACCCAACAAATTAAATTGGCGTGGCCTATGTGGTGACTCATGAGTCTGGGATGTCGGGGATGTCAGGTCTCCTGGTCTGGACGATCCGCGGCTTCTCCAGCCCCATGGCTCTCTGCTCGGGCGTATCCTCACACACGTGGATCACGATACTCGGCTTGTCACCTTCTGCTGGTATCAACTCATGTGGCTCACCTGGGAAAAAACACCATGGTAGATAAAGGTTAGAGACAAACAGGTAATGAGATACACATGAAACTTTGCCATGTCTTGGAAATGCATAATGTTTGCCTTCGCATCTGGTCTGTTCTGTTAATTCTTACTCAAACACATTCATATACATGGTCTAAATCACTCCTGCTAAAAAATTGCAAAATGATGTAACCCAACACCTAGTCTAGTTACCATGGTGACAGACATCTGGCTTAGGTCATTGACCTTATTTGTTTGGAGAAGAAGAGGAAGAAGAGGAAACATAGCAAAAACAATGTTTTCCTTCAGTAAACAAAAAAATAAAAATAGCAAAAATGTACAAATTTTCTAGGTGGGGCCTGACCTGGTGAGAGCTGGGCCAGCGCTGAGAGGAGGTCATAGTTCACGTGATGCTGCTCTGTGATTGGCTCCCAGTCGACGGGCGGGGAGGCAGGGGGGGAGATAAGGAACTGCTTCTCTGGGGTAGGGGGGCGCAGGTGCGGGTCTCTGCTGGGGGGGTCCATCTGGGGAATAAAAACACATGGTTTATCTCTATCATGGTAGTTCATCTGTGTCTTTATCAAGATCCCCTACTTTCTCCAGTTGGTTACCGCCTACACGTGCAATTGTACATGGCAGAGAACTCAGGTCCAAAAATCAAATCAGTCAATTTAGCTGCAGAACATCGAGATTTAAGAACAGTACTTTACCTTTCATTGTAAAGTTACTAAATGATAGTTGACATGTTCATTGTGTAAGTCATGGTTGTATTGAATCGTTATAGCTGATTTTATATTGTTTAACATTGTTGTATTGAATCGTTATAGCTGATTTTATATTGTTTAAATGTAAACAATAACCACAATTCAGCCGAAGGATTGCTATGGTATTGTATTTGTATTTGTGTGAAATAAATAAACCAGTCATAATAATAATAATCTGTGTTGGCAGTTACATGTTTAGAGTTAAAACTTAAAATCCCACACAAAAAGTTCTAAAACCTAGAGCATTCGACCAGACACTCAGTCGCTCACACTCTCTCCTGCACTCTCCCTCCCCTAGACAGTATATGAACAGTCCCCTTTTTGTGTTGGATCTAAAATTTTAACTCTAAACACACATGGTTACTGTTAGACATGCCTAGCCTGGGGTGGAAGTGGAACAGTCCCTCTTCACATACATTGTACAGTACATGAACAGATCCCATCCCAGCATTGTCCCTTCTCTAACTTAAAGACAATACATGAACAGTCCCCTGCACATACTACCTCCCCTCAGACAGTACATGAACAGTCCCCTGCACATACTACCTCCCCTCAGAAAGTACATGAACAGTCCCCTGTACATACTACCTCCCCTCAGACAGTACATGAACAATCCCCTGCACATACTACCTCCCCTCAGACAGTACATGAACAATCCCCTGCACATACTACCTCCCTCCAGACAGTACATGAACAGTCCCCAGAACATGACCTTCTCCCTCCCATCCTCCCTTCATCAGCACCACAGGAAATTGGAGGTTAAATCTCTGACTGATGGTTTCCCAGATAAACCCCATCCAGTCCTAACCTTGGATTACAAGCTCTCAACACTAAACCTTTTCATTTACATTTACATGTACATGTACTGACGTGCTCCAAATTAGATTTCTATAAATAGTGGTACATGTATCATAGAAAAATACTGAATACTATCCACACACAGGCAAACACACCTGTCCTTGGTGCTGAACAACATCCACACACAGGTTGACATTCCTGTCCTTGGTGCTGAACACCATCCACACACAGGCAAACATGCCTGTCCTTGGTGCTGAACACCATCCACACACAGGCAAACATGCCTGTCCTTAGTGCTGAACAACATCCACACACAGGTTGACATTCCTGTCCTTGGTGCTGAACACCATCCACACACAGGCAAACATACCTGTCCTTGGTGCTGAACAACATTCACATACAGGCAAACACACCTGTCCTTGGTGCTGAACACCATCCACACATAGGCAAACATACCTGTCCCTGGTGCTGAACACCATCCACACAGGCAAACATGTCCTATAGCGTATAAGAGCCTATAACGTTTACATTTTTAGATATAGCACTGTCTAATCTCACCTGCACAAAGTACACCTTGAGTTCCTTCTCCATGAAGTCCTTGTGGTGCAGCTCCACTCTCGCTCTCGCCGCTTCGTCCGCCGTCGGGAAGTAAACCCGCGCCCGCCGAAAGCTCTTAAGGTACGAGAAGCTCGCCCGGTGACTGTAGGCCATGAACAGGCCCTCAAATGCGTTCTGCGGAGGGAAAAGAGATGAAAATACGTCAGAGTGACGCGGGGCTGGGAAAAGAGCAGTCATTTATAATTTGAACCAGTTGGGCTAAACCAAGTCATTTCTCTGGTTCAATGGCCATGAACAGTATCCTCCGTAGCAGGCTGATAGAACTGGGGGTTTGGTGGTCTTCGGCTGTTTTCTGGTTAGCCCAGTTCTAAAAAAACTGGGCTAGTTCAACCAGGCCGGCTATGTTCCCAAAGACCCTGACTACCCCCAAAACCCTTGAAGTTTTGGCAGGCTGTGGAGGCTACATGAACAGACCCTCAAACGCATTCTATGGGGGGAAATGAGATGAAAATATGTCAGAGTGACGTGGGGTTGCGAAAAGAGCACTCTGCTGACAGCACTGATTCAACTGAATGACTGCTGTGAAACCATTTAGGCAGAACCAAGTCATTTCTCTGGTTCAGTGGCCATGAAGAGGCCCTCAAACGCGTTCTACAGGGGAAATGAAAAAATAAATACGTCAGAGTGACGCTGGGTTGGGAAAAGAGCAGCTGCTGCTGCTGATAGCTCTGAATGACTGTAAAACCATTTAGGCAGAATTAAGTTCAATCACAGTACTATAGAGAAAAAAAAGGATAATCCCAACCTACCAACCCTATATTTTTTCCAGGACTGAAACAGGAAACACCACATTTTTTCCCTCGGCCTACACAGAGGCATTGTGACTAACTGCTGGTGTAATTGGGCGTTCAGGATCGCTTCAGAGATAAGCGAGAATCTGCGTCACCGGGAATTTCAGGAGAGGTCACGTTTTTTCTGACAAACGTCACCATTTCTTTTTAAAACGATGGTAATGATTCAAAAGCTGTGGATGGCTTTTGACTGTAAAATGATGAGTGTAGAGTGAGGTGGGAAATACAGAGGTTGTAATTTGTAATGACTTAGTAATTAAAATATCCCTGGACGGGTTTTCTCAGACAAACATCACGATTGATTCTTTTTAAAATGACGCTGATGATTCAAAAGCCGTGGATGGCTTTTGACTGTGAAAGGTGAATGTAGAGTGAGGTGGGAAATACAGACATTTCAATCTATAATGACTGAGTAATTGAATGTTTTCAGGTTTTCTCTGACAAACGTCACCATTTCTTTTTTAAAACGATGGTAAATGATTCAAAAGCCATGGATGGCTTTTGACTGTTGAATGCATGAAAGATGAATGTAGTTTGGAGTGAGGTGGAGAATACAGATATTGTAATGAAAGTAACTGAAATTTCCCTGGTCAGCTATTTTCTGACAAACGTCACCATTTCTTTTTAAAACGATGGTAAAATTAATAAATGATTCAAAATCAGTGGATAGCTTTTGACTGTGTAATGCTCAAACAATAAATGTAGATGAGTATTTGGAGTGAGGGGAATACAGATATTGTAATGACTCAGAGTAATTGAAATGTAATGTGTCCATGCTTTCAATGGTGGCATTAACTTTGGCAACCTTTCCGGACATTACAGTAGACTGCTCTCATTTTAGTGGAGCTAGCTAAATGTTTGACTTTGTAAAGGGGAAACAAATTAGTTAGGCTCAAGTTATATTCCCTTCCTTTTGCCTAATCTTATAATGTCTGCTTGCTGTATTTTCACCTTAAAATGTCTGATCATGAGATTTATTTAGCAACGATATAAATTACTTACCTTTAGGCTTTAGTTAAAACATAGCACATATTTGCTACATACAGTAGTAACAGTACATGTAACTGGCTTCAATTTTACTGGGCCAATAATCTATAGTAGAAATCACTCACTCACTCACACTCACTATCCATTTAACGCAAAAGAAAAACACATCTTTCTGCAAAGGTTTGTATACATGTGTTCTTGTTTTACAGTTAACTTAGAAAGATTCCTACTAGAATAGAATTGATAATTTAAAATCTAAAACCATATTTGATTACCGGTACTAGCAAATGTTCAGTCAGTTGCACCCAGAATTGGGACCAAGAATATAATCAGGTCATCATGCTCATTAGCTTAACGATATGTCCCTAATGAATATACATGGTCATGTGGGACATGAACTGGTGTGGGACATGAACTGGAATCATGATATGGACTGTAATTAATAAGTTTATTACTAATTCCTGTTCAAGGGCTAATTGCAATTTGCAAATAACAAGACCAGATTTGGTTAATGATAATCAATGATAATTAGGGGCGTGACTTCAGAGGATGCGCTAATATTAATCCCTTCCATGTTGTACATGTAAATCTGACTGTCCCAGTGATTAGCACAGACTGTGGGACAGGACAGACACAGATGGAGAGAGAAAGGCACGTCTCATGTCTCACAAGGGACACGAGGATACATAAGCAGGGCTTGAAATAAGGGGTGCATGTGAACCTTCGACAGGTGCATCCAAATTTGGAGCTGTGCACCCAACTTTCTTCTGTGGGTGCATTTTTGTAGGTACATGTATATCTAAAGATGTTAAATGTATAGTAGTACTGTAGTATACAGCATATTCTTATAACATCTAAAATAATAAAAAAATAGAATAATTGTTGTTACAGTAGTACTTTTCTTTAGAAATGAAACAATTAGTTTTTGATGACATACTACACTTATTTCATGTGGTTCACCCAAAAGATTTTTTGTGCACCTATTCTCAAAATGAATTTCAAGCCCTGGTAAGTTAGAACAAACATGCAGGAAGACACAGTGAAGACAAAGTGCATTAACAGTATAATTCTATAATACTTATCAAAGTACAAAGAGTATTGTCCTTACCCTAACAGTCAGATCCCCGAACAGTTCATCAGGTACATTGACCACATGTAGAGCTGTGGGGAGCTCCTCCTGAACCTCCTCCTCAGCATCAGGACCTAACTCCTCCTCTGTCTCCATCTCATCTCCGTTAGGAGCACCGTTAGATGTGCCGTCCATGTCTCCTTTGTTCAGGACCATCCTTAGAGTAACGTCTTAGCTACTGGTAGGGTCTCCTGTAGCAACATACAAACAAACAAAATTTTGCCGCTATTTCCATGGTAAATGCTCTGCGAAACTTTACTCGCTACTGCCCCTACTTCGAACATTCTCAGCAACGACACGCCCTGCCACTTCCACTGAAGCAAATCACCCATTCTTCCTCCATTCACCACCTCTTACACCATGGAACAAGCTACCACGTGATTGTTTCCCCTATGAGTATGACCATAAACTTTTCAAGTCTAAGGTCAACAAACATCTGTCCTCACTGGCTGTACAGTAACCCAAAACATTCTGAGTGGCTCTCATGAGCCTTTGTGGTGAACCATGAAGTAAATAAAAAACAAAAAAAATTGGTTAAGTCTTACACTAGGTGAAAGTTCTTTTATGAGTAATATAACAAAAGCAATATGTAACAATTTTCGTATTGAACTAACCTAATATCATTACTGAGTACTAACACACACCTACCAAGATTCAACCTCTCGCTGTAGCCGCAGCCTAAGACTGTTATGTGCTTCTGTCTCCACTTGTAAGTTGTATACAAAAACTTAGTAAATAACAACAATATTGAACTCGATTACAATGCTACAAACTAACCTAATATCACTGCCTACTATCAATATCGTTACTAGCATACACCTACCAAGATTCAACCTCTCGCTCTAGCAGCAGCCTAAGACTGTTCTGTGCTTCTGTCTCTTACTCCGAATACACTCTACGTGCGAATACAAACATACGCTGGGAACGGGCAGAAAACCAGCGACAAGCGAGCCCACCTGTCCGCATGAACATGCGGGTTTAGACCTGATTAATGACCCAGCTGGTTATTGAACTCAATAATGCTAAGAACTAATATCGTAATTTCTAGCCCACACCTTAACCAATATTCAATCTTTCCCTGTAGCCTAAGACTAGTACTGTTCTGTGCTTCTGTCTCCACTTGTAAGCTGTATGCACTTGAGTAAATAACAACATAATATTGAACTCAATTATAATGCTAAAAAGTAGCCTAATATTGTTATTTCTAGTACTAGCACACACCTACCAAGATTCAACCTCTGCTCTGGCTCTAGTAGCAGCCTAAGACTGTTCTGTGCTTCTGTCTCTACTCCGAGTGACTTTTACAAACGGAGTCTGGGAACGGGCAGAAAACCGTCGACAAGCGAGCCCACCTGTCCGCATGAACGCGCTCTGATTAATGACCCAGCTGGTCAGGGTTGCTGGTGTCCTTCCCAGCGTGATGACGTCAGGCTATTGTGGACTATCTGGATCATTTACCCGCCAGGACAAACCCATAGACAAAGGCTCAGCCTTCCCTCCTCACACACAAACATGCTCCACCGTCAGAACACATTGTGGAGCTACCTTCACATTTCGAACCCCACAATTACATAACTACGTCTAAAATTGGAAATATTCAGCCTTTGTGTAGCTAATGAGCTAAATTACTGAATGTCTGATAAAGAAATGGAGGTTGAATGAGGGTAAGTGGTGTGATATGGCCGCAGTGTTTACTTGTGCAAACAGTCGGGGCACTTAGAATGACGAAAGGTTTATGTTTCCGCTAACTACGTCAGTGTTGTTATTCGAGTCCACGGCTTTTAACCCGCGTATCCGCTGTGCTAGAATGTTGTATGAAAACCTGAGAAGGTTTTGGAGGGTTAAATGTACAGATACACTTCGATACAGGACTGAATAACCAGATTTGCATGTTAAATCTTCCACTTCGAAACAACAAATGTTTTTATTTTCTAAAGGGTTAGGTAAAAATTGTTTCTTTACAATTATGCAACGTATTTTGAATCCTGCGGCTGCATACATTGTTAGGTTTAATTCTTATATCAAAAGGCCTGACATGCAGCTATGCACGTAGTAAGAAAACAATAAAAACAGTCAATGTAAAACAATCCACTTTCACACGGTCCAAAAGGATCCATGTCCGGAAATGACTGCATTGTCGGCTGCCTTTGATTCAAATAAGTATTGCTTGTGCACACATACACAAACAACGTTACACTAACAAACATACATTTACAATACACACACATGTAATATGTGCATACACACATATTTATGCAGTGACATACACACGCACATATAATTAATAAAAACAGTCATGCACACGCATACACACACACATACAGACACACTCACACACACACAGGCAAACACACACATGCACAGACATACACACACACACACATAATACACACACACACACACATACACACACACACACACATACAGACACACACACATATACAGACACACACAAACACAAACTAGCACACACACACTGTGATGCACACATACATACACACACACACACACACTCACGCACATACAGACACACACGCACACACATGAGCTCAGCCTCAGCTATTGTATGTATGTTAAGTTAACACAAGCAAACTTACATTAATCAGTATACAGTTACTTTTCATGTCAACCAACCAGACGGCTTGTAACACTTTAATACAGCTCGGGTGACACCACTAAAAATCTCCAAGCAGATATTGGGTGTTGGAAGCCTTTTTCCTCCCAATTATAGACAGCCTAATGAGCCCTTTCTTTTGACATCTGATATTCTTGTAGATGGATACATAGATACTTCTACTACGAGAAGTATGTGACACATATCATAGACATCATACTCTAACATACATTGAATTTCTTGTTGTGTAAACAACTAATGTTACATACATGATGTCTTGTACACAATAATTTTGGCCGCATTTGAACACTGATAAGCTATCATCTGATACATATTATCATATCATAGCAAAGTCTAAACAAATAAAATCAGTACATTCATAGAACCATACTTCTGTGCTGTCACAAATCAAAATGGGGGTGACAAAATAAAAAAATTTCGGAAGATCGTCGCTAAAACATTAAAAATAAAGCAACCCTTTGATATCTGTGGGCATATAAAAGGTACCGAGACGAAGCTGCTTACCTTCTAAATCTGCAGTTTCCGATGAAAAGTGTTAAAATCACTCCATGATGACGAAATGTACATAAATACCCGGAGAAGTTGTCACTTTTTGTGAGTCAAATCCACATGATCGTGACATGTCGTCAACCGGTCCGCGCATGCGCATTGCTCAACATTATCACTGCCGCAAAACATACCTGTCGTAAAACGCAATGAGGAGCCAGCAACTTTTCGTTCGAGGATGGTCCTATCAATAAAGAGCAAATTTTTCCACTATTGACAGGATCATCTTGTGCAAGACGCGAAAGACTCAATCAAAGGGAAATATTATGTGCATTATATAGTCTCTAAACAAACGTATGATTGCAGTGGTGTTCAAACCTGCAATGATTACTTTAACCGATGGGGGTCCCCACTTTTACGTCGGTAAGACATGAAGCTTTGATGTGCTTTGATGTGAGTTATGAGTTATGAATAGAGGAAACAAGAAAACTGGAAATGATTAGATTTTGGCCCTTCTAGTGTCTTTCCTTGGTACTGAAGGGGAAATTCACTGAATAACGAATTTTGATGACCGGGTTCGTGTGACATGGGTAGCGAAGGGGTTGACCAATGTCCAACCATTGTAGGACCAAAAAAGTACAAACATGTTTGTTCTAATACGCTACTTATTATGATTTGTACAAATAAAGGTCCTGTCGCTTTTAGGATTCTTTAACAGGCAACCTACCATGCTGAAGTACTAAGTAAACATTTGAAGTAAATTTACACTTAAAATTACATTATCTACTGCGTGCAAATAGCGTTAATGAAACCACATCATCATAAAGACAGAAAGACAAAATATCGATAGAAGAGCATCTCCCTAGCTGATGTGGTCTCGCCGGAAAATGTCGCAAGCTCGACCAATCAGAGAACAGACGGGGCTTCTTGGAAAGCACCGTCCCAGAACAATAGTTTGTTACCGATACTTACTTCATGTATATATGTAACTGTAACAGACCTGAACTGACTTCGTGTTACATGCATGATGGATGGGATTGCAGGAAATATACGAAATCTTCTGTTCCGCAGTGGCAATCGAGATGCTTTGTCCAGGTGTAAAGAGGGAGACCTGCTGCAGTTTCACAGGGCAGGTTACTCTGACTGGGGTGTGTATGCAGGCCACGGCAGAGTCATCCATTGTACAAAGGACGACGATAGCGAGGTTAAAGTAGAGGTAACGGTGGTAAATACTGTTTGTTTAAAGTTAAAATTTGTGTGACTGGTGACAAGCTCTGAGAAGTGAGAACATTTGCCTTTTGTGTTGGAACAAAAGTTCTACCTAAAATAAGTTACAGTAACTACCAACACATAAAGTTTCATGATAGACGGCGCCTTTTTATTATGCCAAGTGCAGATCCACTCCGCTCCTAAGCCTAAACGTTGACACAGCACCGTCACATGACTTCTCTGCGACCCCCGAGGCCATGGGAAAGTACCGTGTACGTAGTTATAAATTAACTCCACAAAGAGACGTAAACAATCCTCCTGAAAATATAGAG